CTTGCACGCCGCGCACGTCCATTCTCGCTCAAGCCGTTTCGCCGCATCGGCCACTCCCTTCGCGGTCCTGCCACGCTTGCTACAGTCTCCACGCACCACGCGCGCCTGCTTCGATTTTCGATGACCCTCAACTTGCCCCTTCTTCAAATGTTTCGTGTCCACGGAAGCTTCCCCGCACGCCGCGCACGTCAGCGCCTTCGCTTCAACCTCCGCCTTCCTCTTGCGGCACGGTGCTTTGGTATTCGCTCTCCGCGCCGCTTTCTCCCTCCGCGCAATTCCGGTAAAGCCTTTACCCAGCTGTGTTGTGTTTCCTCTGCGCTTCCGACAATTCCGCCGACCCGTCCAAAAAACGACAAGCACGCGTCGCTCGAACACCGCAGTGGTCGGACACTGTCGTTCCAGCTCGCATACCCACTGTGCGACTTCTTCTTGGCTTTCACATGCGCGCACTTCGCGCAATACATGGTCCGAATCCTTTGGCCCTTCTCGTCGTCGCCCGGTGCCTTCCCGCCCCGCTCGCCGACCCGCAGCGCGGGCCCCTCATCGTCTGCGTTGCGGGCCCAACGGTTGCGCGTCGTACACCACTTCTCGCTGGCGCTTTTCATCTCCACTGTGCACTCTTTGCAGAATGCCGGCCTCTCCTTCCTTTGGAAGTCGTACATCGAGAATGCCTCTACAAGAAGCCTGCGCCGGCACCGCTGGCACTGGTGTCGCGGCGTTAGAAGCGCAGGCCCCGCGCGGGCCCTCAGCAAATTCATCTTCTGTCGGGCGGACAATACAGAACGATGGCGGGTTCTGTGTCGTCCGCACCGGAATAGTCGTCATGTTGGCCGCGCGCACCGACCAAACGCCAGCAGGAGTTCTGCCCGCAGTGCTAGGTAGACGACTTTGAGCAAACTCGCAAATCAAAACGAAGCAAGTCCCATTGCAATCCTCATGAGAAGATGCTTACAAATCCTCCCGCGTTCAGGGTAGCCCACAACAGATGATTCCGTTGGAGAAATAACCCCCAAACATTACCCAGCCCGCCCAACAATAGAGGGACAGTAATCTTACATCGCCGCGCGTGCCGACCAGTCGCTAGCAGGAGTTCTGCCAGCAGTGCTAGGCAAACCGCTTCGAGCAAACTCGCGAATCACACCGAAGCAACTCCGAGTGCATCCTCATGAGAAGATGCTTGTAAATCCTCACGCGTGCAGGGTGACCCAGATGGATTACTCCGTTGGAGGAATGACCCAAAAAGTAAGCCAGTCAACCCAATTCTCATGAGAAAATGCTCGCAAATCCTCCCGCGTGCAGGGTAGCCCACAGTGGAGTATTCCGCTGGAGAAATAACCCCAAACATTACCAAGTCCGCCCAACAATCAGGGAAAACGATCTCCGCTGCGGTGAGGGAGTTTTAGGACCTTCTTCGTCGCCGCGAGATCAGGGAGGGTTAGAACTAAAGACCTCCGGAGGTTATGTGGCCCACCGTCGCCGCTTGCGTTTTCCCAGCACCGACGGAGGCTTAGGATAGGCGCCCCCAGAACCAATCCAAGACGGCCCAAGAGGACGGTCCACGAGTCCCCGACCTGACAGCACCGAACAAAATACCCCCGCAGCGGCTCAAGGCATACCTCCAAAAAGCCGGAGGAAGCATGAGAGGCCCCGCCGCCTTCTGAGAAGGCCTTCTCCTTCTCACTTCCCCCCGTCGCTCGCCGCCGAGGTTAGGGATGTCCCCGGCCTCCAACGAGGAGGAGGAGGAGGAGGAGAAGGAGGAGGAGGGGGAGGAGGAGCAGGAGGAGGAGGACGAGGATGAGGAGGAGGGGGAGGAGGGGGAGGGGGAGCAGGAGGAGGAGGACGAGGAGGAGGAGGAGGAGGGGGAGGAGGAGGAGGAGGAGGAGGAGGAGGAGGGGGGGGAGGAGGGGGAGGGAGGAGGGAGGGGAGGGGGAGAAGGAGGAGGAGGCTCTCGCTCTCCCCCCTCCCTCTCCCCTCTCGCTCCTCGGCTCCTCGCTCTCCGGCCCGTTCCTGTTCCTTTCTTGGCCCACTTTTCTTTGTCGGCCCGCCCTGTGGTCCGAATAAGAGTTGCGGCGGCCCGCGCTGCCACGCTGACGGACCCCCCCCTCCCTCTGGCTTTTGGCCGGGGCGGCGGGGCAGGACAGGCGACGGGTTAGACCAGACGATCGCATCTCGCCGCACGGTATTATGGGACAACAGTTGTTGTTGGGCGCCGTGCCCATGTTTTAGGGAGGAGAGGAGGAGGAGGAGGAGGAGGGAGGAGAGGAGGAGGAGGAGGAGGAGGAGGAGGAGGAGGAGGGGGAGGACGAGGAGGAGGAGGAGGGGGAGGAGGGGGAGTAGGAGAGGAGGAGGGGGTGGAGGGGGAGGAGGAGGAGGAGGACGGAGGACACAAGTGCTTACGCTCGGGAATTGTGGCCTCGCGCCTCGCGACTCGCGGCCCCCGCGGCGCGCCGTGCCCTGCGAGCTGGTGGAGCGCCGCCGTGCTTCGCGGGGCGGGGGGCTGGGAACGGCTCGGGGAACGTTGACGCCTGGAGGAGGAGGACAGGAGGAGGAGGAGGAGGAGGAGGAGGAAGAGCAAGAGGAGGAGGAGGAGGAGGAGGAGGGAGGAGGAGGAGGGAGGAGGGGGGGGGGGAGGGGGGGAGGAGGGGGAGGAGGAGGAGGAGGAGGAGGGGGAGGAGGAGGGGGAGGAGGAGGAAGAGGAGGAGGAGGAGGAGGAGGAGGAGGAGGAAGAGCAGGAGGAGGAGAAGCAGGAGGAGAAGCAGGAGGAGGAAGAGCAGGAGGAGGAGAAGCAGGAGGAGAAGCAGGAGGAGGAAGAGCAGGAGGAGGAGAAGCAGGAGGAAGAGCAGGAGGAGCGCACCGGGCGCACGCGCGCGCGACCTGCTCTGCTCTTGCAGAGAAAAAAGGGGAGTGCGGATGTTGATGCGTGTGTGTGTGTGTGTGTGTCTGTTCTTTGCTTGGGGTGGAATGCGGACGTTGATGCGCATGCGTGTGTGTGTGTGTCTCTGTTCTTGGTTTGGGGTGGCATGTGTGTGTCTGTTTTTTGCAAAGAAAGGGAAGTGCGGACGTTGATGCGTGTGTGTGTGTGTGCTTTGCTTGGGGTGGCATGCGAACCGAAGGAAACACGATGCACGTGGCACGGAAAGGCATGTGTGCCCGCCGGCTGGAGCAGGGCTTTGGAATCCATGGACCACGCAGCCAGATGGGTGACTCCCTCCGCGGAATATCGCCGCGATCATGTTTTATGTTGGCTTTCAGAAACCCTACGTCTTTAAAAGTTAGGTGGGGGAAATCAGGGCGCGGAGGTGTGTCGAAGTGGCGTTCGACCCACGAAACGCAATGTTTTCGATCGTTGACAACGAAGGCGGACTGACCACGAAATGTCCCCTGGAACGGCTTTCCTCTCAGAGGCCTCCTGAGGGGGGCCGAACGGTACCACACCAGCGCGTCATGACACCCGTCAATCAAGACGAAAATCCTGCGATGATGAGCAACCCAGGCGCACCAGCGTGTCATGACATCGGTGGGCCACACCAGCGCGTCAGGGCAACCATCATCATGAGGATGTTCCTGCGACAACACATTCGTGGACGCACATGCGGACGGCCAGTGTCCCATGTGTACCCATCCCTCTGCCACACCAGCGCGTAATTGCATTCATAATCGTGATGATGTCCCTGCTGCGACGGCACACGCATAACGTGCAATCGTTGGGTCTGGGGCGCACAAGTCGCCAGCGTGCGTTGATAACTCTTGCTTTGGGCAGAGGCCAAAGGGGTCGCGCGCTTGATAAGGGGGAAGATGGCGCTTGTAGTTCAGGTGAAGTGCTGCTAGAACCACGAAGCGGAGTGCTTTCTCGCTGAGGCGCCGAAAAGGAGATGTCCACGAAATCGCCTTCATCATGGTTTCCCGTCAAGCGGGCTCTTAAGGAAGCCGAGTGGTCTTACGCAATCTTTGAGGTCGGTGCTGAATGAAGACTCCATTGTGCATACTTTCGGCAGCCCAGTGTGTCATGAGATGGGTGTGCCACACCAGCGTATCATGGCACCCATCATCATGACGATGGTCCTGCGATGATACACGAGTGAATATATGCACTTGCGAAAGGCCAGCCTGCCATGGCACCGGCGCGCCACACCAGCGTGTCATGGCATTCATAATTACGATGATGGGGGTGAGGATGATGGTCCTGCGACGAGACATGACCAGATTCACGTGCGGGGCGCCAGCGTTCCATGTGCATTTTCGCTCTGCCACACCAACGTGTCAGGATATTCGTCATTCAAGACGATGTCTTGCTTCGTCGACAGACGCAAAACATGCAATTGAAACGTCTGGGGCGCATAAGTCGGCAGCGTCCGTTGATACCTTTTGCCTTGGGCAGAGGCCAAGCGGGTCGCGCGCGCGTGCCCAGAGCCAGGAGGGGGAGGGAAGGAGGAGCCCCACACCCGTTAGCGCAGCAGAGAGTGCACTCCATGATGACGAAACGCACAACAACGGGCGCGGCCTCGAACTGCTTAGAGTATAAAATGTCAATGGCGACGGCACAGGCATGCATGAACTCACTCGCTTTAGGGGTGCGCTCAAGAGACGGCCAGAGATGGGGAAGAAAATTGAAAGGCGCAACATGCCCCCACTCCGGTGGGGGCGAGGGGAGGAGCTCCCTCAGGAGGGGGATCACAACCGGACAGGTGACATAGTGAGAGATATTGTCGGCCCCTAAATTGCAGCACCCCAGAAACACAAGGCCCAGTGGCCTGTCTGAAACGCTTCGTAGTTGGCCAAGCATTGAACACGGCTTTCAGAAGGGATGTAAAAATAAAACTGGGCAGCCTCCTCGCTAGAATATTAAGCCTCAGAACCGTCAGTTGAGCATCTTGGGGCGTAGCATGTGGTAGCCAATAGCGAAGACGAGCAAGGACAATGTGATTGATGAAATGATGGGGCTGACGACGAACAATAAACTTCGTGATCCTACTATGCAGCTTTTTCGGGGGCTCGTGGACCGGGGCATCTGGGATTCTGATGCACTGGCTATACTCGATAAGCATGTTCCAGAAGATAGAATTCAGGAAGTGCGGGTTCCACTTATACGTTAGGGTCCTGTTGTCGTCTTCCTGGGCAGCATTATACATGGAGCGCATAGCATGGAACTCTTCCGAGCGGATGGCACAGCGTAGCATGGGCGCACGACAAAGGGTTTCCATAGAGCGACACTGCACAGGAAGACCAAGTTCTTTGAGATGGAACATGGCCGTGGGAGGAAAAGCATGCCGCGGCGCACGAGGAAGCTTTTGGTGCGCCTCTCGTTCTGAACGAACGAGTTCCTTAGACGGCAGGTAGAACTGCCCAACATGCGATGTGACAGGGACGACGTAGGTGTTGAAAGCCTGCGCGGACTGGATGAAGCTCAGCCCCAGGCGCCGCGCGCCCTCTGTCCTGCTCCTAATTTTCACTGCAACAGGCTGCCAGGCGTCAAGAAAACCACGCTCACCGACCTGAATTCCCAGGAGTTTGCCAGACCTCTGAATCTGATAACGGGAAACATCAAGCCCCCGACCACGGAAGGCCTCCAGGACATCCTTTTTCTCCACCAAATTCAGAACAACAATGACACATTTCTTATAGTTAAGCGTGAGCCGAGTTACTTTGCCTGACAACACAAGCCTTGCCAATACCTGCGGCAGTGTCTTGCAGAGGTTGCGTGCGACGAAGTAAATGTCGTCGGCGAAGGCGCCGATCTGAAATGCGAGACGCTCCTGCAGCTGTATTACGTAGCGGAGCACTGGACCCAGCACAAGCGCAAAGAGCACACCACTGAGCGGACATCCCTGTTTTATCCATCGAAAGGAATAGAAAACATGCCCCCCTCCACCCCATACTATTGAAGCCCATATATCGTCATATAGTTCCTCTATCGCATTGGTGAGAAAGGGTGGCAATTTCATACGAATCAGTACGCAATTGATCCAGCTACAAAAACACTCGGGAAGGCGCTCTTAAAACCGAAGAGCGTGAAGCCGCACTCCGTGTGCCTATAGACGGTGCCCCAAAGCGTGAGCAGACCATCCATGTTTATGACATTGTCATTCATCATCCTCCCCTTGACGAACCCCCTCTGGACGATGTGGCAGGTTTCAGCAGCGACACGATTTAATGCCGAAGCGATGGCGGAGCTGAGGAGCTTGTTATCAGCATTCGAAAGCGATAGCGGTCGAACGACATGTGGATCACGAACCTCCCCCCTCCCTGGACAACATCTCCTTTCGGCAAAAACACAGCCGTGCAGTGGTAAAGCTGGGGGGCGACCATGCCACCAGACATGGTGTGGCAGTGCAGGGCATATAGCGCAGCACGCGTCTTCTTACCTGTCCTTTGCCAAGCGGAATAGGGAACACCATCGGGGCCCGTGGCTGTGTCACGCTTGAAATCGATCAAGCCGTTGAAATGCCCCTCGGTCAGAACCCAGTCGAATCTCTGGTGGCTACTGGTGACATATTGAGGCCCCGCACCGTCGACCTCCTGGATGTACTGAAATAGAACATGCTCAGACCCAAGACAACCTTCGTCTTCATTGTCAAAGACTTTGCCCCAGTAGTCAGCCAGAAGCCGAGGAGCCTCATCAGGGTCAGTGTGGACCTCTCCCTGAGGACCTCGAACTCCAACAAGCTTAATACGTGGCCGCCGTGCAGCCCATGCAAGAGAGGGACGCTTGACTCGACGAATGGCCTGCTCAGCAGCTTCCGAACCTAGCTCATTGTTCTCGCGCACCTCCCTCTCCTCCTCCTGGTACTCCTCGCGCGTCGTGGAACTGAGATGCTCATGGAATCGCCCTTGATCGAGCCAGGTCATCGTCTCGGGGTTAAAAAAACGCGAAGAGGTGCCTGTAACCCAGACAGGCACGCCGAGCATGATAGCAGCTGCCAGACCGCGCCGCACGGACAAGCTGGAGACAGCAGGCTGCCTTCTCTGGCCGCGTGCGGGCGCCTGAGATCTCGACATGCCTCCGAGTGTGGCCAGCGACAATGTGAAATATCTCTATAATTTCCTGCACAGCAGTGGGGGGATGCGGCGAAAGCCCAGTGGTAGCGATAAGGTCCTCGACAAACTCACCGAACTGCGGGTGCTTGGCCACCGGCGGGGGTATAAAGCCTTGACCTGCAACTGCAGGCCGCGGAGCATGCAGGCAAAGAAAGACTGGAACGTGGTCAGAGGGCTTGCCCCTGTCTGTAACCTCCCAGAGGACTCCAGTATTAGGCCGATAATCTAGTAGAGTGACAGTGTCAGCGTTGTAGTATAGTTATGCGATCGAGACGAGCGTATGTCAACTTATTGCGTATGAATGCACGATGAGTATAGGCTGGTTGTTCGACTTCGGAGTAATGGAGAAAGAGATAGACAAATATGGTAGCTAAACGTGATGGCGATGTCTTGGGAACAGGTGGTTCAAGATAGCGTCTGCATTCTCCAAGTTCATGGAAATTAAAGTCCCCGAGCAGAATACTCATAGCCTGGAACTGCGGGAGCAAGGAACGAGAAAGAGAATGGAGAATACCGCGCGTTGCTCGTTCAGACCACTCAGGATCCAGATGGACACTCGTAACCTGCAATGCACCTTTCGGGCCCTGGAGAGTATTCGTGAGAATGCGACCTGCCACGAGCGCGTGCGAATCTATCATCGTGAACTGTTCGGCGAGCTCTTCCCTGACCAGCAGCACTGTACCTCCAGCATGGGCCTCCTGAATGAAGGAACCGAAGGCTCGGAATCTCGGAAAGTCGCGGGTCAGAGTCTCAAGGTCCCCTTCCTGACCATGGGTATCCTGTGCAACAATTACATCCATCTTCCGTGAAATGCTGGCCAGAGCTTTAAATTTAGGCGCACCGTGCTTGCGAGAGGCAGAAAGGGAGTGGAAAAGAATCTGGGCATTCCAGGTGCATGCTCGAAGCGGCTGCGCAAGCAAGAATGGTTTTGTGGACGCTTCTGGTCCACGCGAATCTGTGCTATCTACTGTACTCCATGTTGAGCTGGAACATTGTGTCGATGGGGTGGCCGAGGGACAGGTACTGGCCGAAAGAGAAGCGCATGAGTCTCCGACTACGCTGGTAGTGCTTTCATGCTCCCAAAAAGATTGGCCACGATTGTCATCGGCGCTCGACGAGTATGCCAGCTGCTCCTCCTAGATGTAGGCGGCCTTGTTCTGGGCGTCCTCCATAATCCTGTTCAGCTTGTCGGTGTCCAGGGAGAAGAAAGAGACAGTGTCTTGATCTATGTCGAACGTGAACGACGCATGGTTGACGTCCGAGCAGCTGACCAGCGGCCAAACATCATTCCCATCTGACCAGTGAATCGTGCCCTTGTACCCGTTGATGATGGGCTTCGAACCTGCAGTGTACCGTGGGCGGGCTCCGAATAGCTCGATGATGGGGTCCCATACCTTGCTGAGCGCCCTCTGTGTGGTCCTGACGTCTTTCGGCAGGTCAGATCTGGCCTTCATGTAGTGCATCGATCCGTCTCGCGGGTCCATCCACTGATTGTCCGAGTTGTTGAAAACCTCCGTGCACTCCTTCGCCATGGCTTCGCTGGAGAAGGTGAGGGAGTAGCTCTGGCTGATGCAATGGTACTGCGGCGTAACATTGTTCATCATGACCGGCGTCAGGATGTTGTCCTTCCACGATGCAAAATGTGCTTGTCTCATGCTTGCTGAAATCGCACGAGGGAATGTGCCGATCCAGCGTCGACACTTGTCATATTGATAAGATCGCGAATTGTGCCAATTGGGTGATGCATTCTCCGATGCTGACGTGCGCTGGATTTTGGCGGCTGGCTCAGTAAGCCGACTGGCCCATGTACTACCATCTGCAGATCCTCCAGCTGAGCTTGTTGCTGAGGTCGATGCTTCATGCTGAAGACGAGCGATGGCGGCACTATGCTTCTGTAGCGTTTCCCGAATCTGGACTATGTGATGTGTCTGCGCCGTCATGCCAGCGTTCTGCTCGGCAATCTTCCGCTCCAGCCCCTGGGACAGTTGCGCGAACTGCGTGGCGAAGGTCTGCGTGAGCGTGGTGCCCAGGGAGTCGATCTGCGCTTTCATGGAAACCTCTAGGGCCGCCTGGACTTGCCGCACGATTTCCTCGGCCATGGCAGAAACTGGACTGGGATGAAAAAAAATGGGGTTGTGTCCGCTCGGGCTCGCACCCGAATTGCCCTCTGAAGAGAGCTGCCCACTCAATGAGATGTGAAAGTAAGTACTCCCCAGTACCCACCACACCCGCCTTGAGCCAAAATGGCAACGGAACACCCGCCTTGAGCCAAAATGGCAACGGAGGGGAGGGAAGGAGGAGGAGGAGGAGGAGGAGGAGGAGGAGGATTGGCCTCACTGGGGAGGGGTGCCCCTGAGATCCGACGTTGCGCCATCGCTGAGCGCGAAGCGCCAGCAGCGTTTTGCGCGCCCAAGTTTGGCCACCCCGCGTCCCCCGTGAAGCCGCGCGCTCAAGGTCACTCTTGCGCATGGTCACTCTTGCGCGTAGCCGAAGGGAGCCGCCGTCTTCCCAGCTGGGCCTCCTCCGATGGATCGCCTCGCTTAGGGGCTGCGGGTCTGGTTCTGGCCCTTCAGGGGAGGAGGATGGGAAGGAGGAGGAGGAGGAGGAGGAGGAGGAGGAGGAGGAGGAGTGGTATGTGTATGTGTACGATGCGTGTGCGGCTATATCGGGACGTGTCTCATGTGGGTGCCCACTATGTCGCGCACACGCCTCAATGGACGCTGCAGTGATCACGCCAGGCGCCCACTAGCGTTGTATGGTGTGTGTGTTATGTGTGCGAGTGTGTGCATGCGCGCGGCCGTATGTAGACGCGTGTCTCATGTACTTGCCGTGCACGCGTTGAGCGCGGGTGAGGAGAGGAAGGAGGAGAGAGGAGATGAGGTGTGAGGTGAGGTGAGACGCGAGTGCGCCGCGGCAGGGAAGAAAACCAGAACCCCACGAACCATGTGGGGAACAAAACCTTGAGGACCTCTGTTGTCGAGCCCCCGCCAGAGGAGACTGCGGCGAGCAGCACCGGCGGTGGCCCCCCCCCCGAGGCCGGCGGGCCCCGGCCAGCGGCCTGGGGCGTCGCCGGCGCGCCGCCCGCCAGGTCAGCGCGCATCTCCTGCCGGGGCCGCCCTCGTCCTCGCCCCCCTGCTCTCGTGCAGCAGGAGCTCGGTCACAAGGAGCCCTCCACAGGAAACCCAACCCTGAGACCCCAAGGCGTCCCTTGGTTTTTGGTGTGGGAACGTCGCGTTTTTCACAGCAAGACCATCGAAGCCCAAGAAACCCGGGCACCCTGGAGGCAAGCAGGGTGTTTCTTGGCATAGGTCTCCATTGTGCTCTCTCGTCCCCCAGCCTCCTTCTACTCTGAAGGGGCCCTGGGGCACACAAATAGATGAGCACAAACCCCAAGGCTCCCCCCATGTTCCATATTCTCTGGATGTCCGTCTTCCCCTCCACCTCCCACGTGTTCCACGTGATCTGGGGGATCGAGGAGATCGAGGACTATTTGTGCTTGTGTGTTTCTTCCCGCCTGATCCTCGCCGTGGTGCCCCCGTTTCCCCTCCTGCTCCTCCTCCTCCTCCTCCTGCTCCTCCTCCACTTCCTCCTTCTCCTCCTTTTTCTCCTCCTTCCTCTTCCTCATCCTCCTCCTCGTCCTCGTCCTCGTCCTCCTCAGGCGGACAAGGGACGAGGAGGAGGAGTAGGAGGAGGAGGCGGAGAAGGCGGACCAACTCGGGGCCGGAACGTGATATGATATGAGGTGGAGCCTGTCCGCTACAGCGCCTCAGCCCTCGAAGAGGAGGAGAAGGACGAGGAGGACGAGGAGGTCGAGGAGGAGGAGGATGAGAGGAGACGTACGTAGGAAGAGGACCAACTCCTCTTCCGATCCGAAGAAACGCCGCCGACGACGCGACGGCGGCGAGGGGGCCGACCAGTCCTCGCAGACCTTGGCAAGCGGGCTCTCCGCCATCTCGGCCACGAGCTTCGCCCTTCCTGGCTCTCAGGGAGGGGCCCAGAGAGGGAGGAGGGAAGAACAATCCTGCTGCCCTGCTGCCCTTCCTTCTCCTCTTCACTCTTCCTCCTCCTCCTCCTCCTCCTCCGTCTGTTCCTCCTCCTCCTCCTCCTCCTCCTCCTCCTCCTCCTGATCCTCCTCATCTTCACTCCTCCTCCTCCTCCTCCTCCTCTTCCTCCTCCTCCTCCTCCTCCTCCTCCTCCTCCCCTTCCTTTTCGCTCCTCCTCCTCCTCCTCTTCCTCCTCCTCCTCTATTTTTCCATTTGAGCAACTCCTCCCTCGCACCAGGGAAGCCAGTTGAAAGGGCGGGCCGGGCGTTTCGCCCGAGACTTCCTCACCATTTATAACCCTGAAGCCGTTTAAAAATTGGCAACAAATTCACGCATGGAAGGGGGGTGGTTTTCAAAATGTCGTTCTCGCCTTAGCGGCGCACGCACTCGTCTTAAACATTCGCAAGAGTTTTACATTGAGGGCGGTTCGTTTTCAAAATGTGGCTCTCGTTTTAGCGCCGCGCACATCCGGCTAAAAAAATGCAAGATCTTCACGAATTGAGGGCGGTTCGTTTTCAAAATGTGGCTCTCGCTTTAGCGCCGCGCGAACCCGTCGAAACAATTGCTAGCGATTCACGGGGTGAGGACGGTTCGATTTCAAAATGTGGCTCTCGCCTTAGCGCCACGCACACTCGTCTTCGAACATTGTAAGAGTTTCATGGGTTCAGGGCAATTCGTTTTCAAAATATGGCTCTCGCCTTAGCGCCGCGCTTACTCGTTTCAAAACTTGCACGAACATCACGGATTCCCATGGTCAACGACCCAGAAAATGTGCTGGAAGGACTCAGGATTGTGAGGGTGCAGCGTTTACGATGATTCTCGGTGTTGACGTCACAAGAACGGTTCTCTGGCACGATTTAGGATCGCCAAGACGCAACAATCCAGTTAGATCTGTGCCGTTGGAGTCCCGATCATGGTGTTTTTGGCACGCCTCAGGGTCTCCAAACAATTGTTTCCCAACGAGGCAGTTCACTCAGTGGACATGAACCCTTGTAGGGGCCCATGGAGAGGGAGCTTGGGGGGAGGGTGTATTCCAGCATCGTTGAGGAGTCTTGGGTTTACACTGGTCTCCCTCCTCCCCCCCCTCCCTCTCCGCCGCAGCCATTTTGGCTCGAGCCCCGCGTCCCCTCTCTAGAAATGGATAATTATTCTCTCCAAAGCGCTCGAGCCGAAACGATATCGGCCCGTCCAACATGTCTCTCGGGAGGCTGCAAATCTATCCAGCCCTCCCGGCCTTCCGCGCTCCGTCCGCGCGGGAGGCCGCCGACTCTCGCGGCCGGCACAATGTCAGTGGAGCGTGGCGATCCACCACTCCTTAGAATCAAAAGCGCGCGGCCAAACGCCGCCGCCAGCTCAAGCGCTCTGAGCGATGTCTCAATCACCACTCATCCATCCAGCGCTGCCCGCAGGGCCAGTCGGCTCCGACCTGCTCTCGCCGCGAACCCCATCGCCGCCAGGAACTTCTTAATCAGGGGCCCGTCCAGGTGCTTCGTACCGATGTCACTGATGTTCTCGAGACCTGCGATCTTGTTGACGCGCAGCTTCTTCTGCTGCACAGCCCTCTGCGGCCACGGCAGAGGTGTATATAGGTGTCGAGCTCGTCCGACTCCACGACGTTCTGCGATGCCCCTGCCCGCCGTCGCGTCGCGCTTCAGCACGATCTCGAGGTCTACACCCATGTCCTTTGCGAGAGTCTTGAGGCCGAGCCCGATACTGCCGCCCTTCACCAGCGCGTGGAACTCCGCTTCTCCAGTAGATAGAGCATTGAACCCTTGGGTTGTCGAGCTGCTTCTAATCCAATGCTTCCCAATCATCACCGTCCACGATGAAGTAGACTTACGTGTTCTCAGGCAGCCTGCGAAGTCACTGTCCGTATAGACTTGAGCAACTCGCCGATCTGCCTGCCGTGGATACTCGACCACCAGCCTCGGGGTACCTACGAGGTACCGACCGATCCGTTTCATGGCCTGCCACCCGCCAATCGTCGGATCCTGCATCGCTCAAGCTGTTTCCTTCGCCGCGTACTGCAAATCAGGCCGATCCTGCGCCAGTCATTGGATGCGCATGCACACCGAGCGGTAGATGGCCCGCTCTCGTCCTTGTAGTGCTTCTCCATCCAGCTCCTGCCTCTTGATCCCCGGCGTGACCACTGGCTTGCTCTCCTTGCCTTGCAGGCCCAGCTGGGCCAGGATGATCTCCACGTGCCTCGGGTCCGCCTCGTATTCGATCTTCTCCACGTCGTTGCCGTTCGGCCTGACCCACCTCACGATGCGATTCAGCACCACGATCTCGTCGATGTCGCCGCTCTGCGGGTGAGGTCCCAGAACCCCTCGTACCTTCACGGTCAGGTGCTCGCCGAGGTTCTCCGTGAAAGCCTTTGAATCCTTTCGCCCACCGAGCACCACGAAATCGTCGCCGTGCCTCCAAACGACCAGCTTGCCAACCTGGTAGATGCAAGGCGAGAACTCGCCCTGCTTCGACTTCAGGATCCTCACCATGATGTCCTCCACCTTCAGGTCGAATGATGAGCCGGCATCTCTCAGCCCATACATGGCCTTCAGCAGCAGCCAGCACTCGTCATCCTTGCACTCTAGATCCTCCGCTGGCGCCTTCAAGTACACTGGCCTCTGCAGCTCCGAGTGTAGATGCGCTCTTGAGATATCGATGAAGGTCAGCACTCGATCTTCATGCCGCCCTGTCATCGCCATAGACAGAATCATCCTCAGGCCCTCCAGCGGCGGGGTCGCCGCGAAGGTCGCCGCAGCGTCCTCAGGCCCAAGGGTGCTCAGCTTCCGCGTCTCTTTCGCCACCAACCGACTCCGTAGTTCTGGTTTCTGATCATCGCCCTTGTTGGTGTCGACCCAGCCGCTTGGAAGCGGCTTGGTTCCCGTCGCTTGCAGCGCCTCGGAAATCTTTCTCCTCTCAAACACTCCGAGCCTGCTCATGTAACCCAGCTCGTCCATGCGCGCGTTCTTGACGCCTACCGGGTCCAGCACCGCACCGCTGATCCCGTCGTAGAAGGTCGCCATCTCCTCCTCGGTCGCCTGGTCCAGAATCTCTGGCTCCTCCGCGGTCTGACCAACTTCGATCGCATGGATCCCTTTACCGATCTTCAGCTCGTTCCTGATGCCCTTCAGGATTGCCTTCGCCAGCCCTAAGGGGTACTTCTCAGCCGCCTTCGCCCTCCTCTCCAGGAGGTGCACATGCTCGTGGGGGCCGTCACACACGATCCCCACCTGCTTCGCCACCTCGCGGCTATTCGTCATCCAGCCCGTCGGCTTCGCCACGAGGCCCTCCGAGCCGTCCGGCCAGTATGACTTGGCTCCGAACACGCACTGGCTGCCCTTGACCACTATGACGCCTGGCAGCTCCCTGATGCTCTTGATGCGCTCCTCTTTCCAGCTTGACGCCGTCCAAGGGTGCTCGAACAGGAACCACTTCCCCCTCGAATGCTGGTGAGCCGCCAGCTCCATACAGAAGAAGCCCAGGAAGACCTTGCACTCCGCGAGCAGCCTCTGAAACTCCGCCGACCCCAGAGGCGTGTGAGGAAAAGAGACAAGCTTTGCCCAACATTCCCCAACATGGACCCATACTCTTCTCCGTGCCCTGCCCACACGACAAGTGCTGTCTCCGCCACCTCGCTACCTCGCCCCCCTCCTGGGCGAGGGCCAACCGACCGACATCCCCACCCTCTGGAGCCTCTAGTTTTGGGACCCCCCACCCCACTAGATTTCTCGCCCAAAACCGACCGATACCCCCCACCGCGCCCCCCACAACGCCCCGGCATTCCCACCCCATGGAGCCTCTGTTCTTGGGGCCCCCCACCCCACCATTTCTCGCCCAAAACCGACCGATACCCCCCACCGCGCCCCCCACCACGCCCCGGCACTCCTGCCCCATGGAGCCTCTGTTCTTGGGCCTCTGACCGATACCCCCCACCGCGCCCCCCACCACGCCCCGGCACTCCCACCCCATGGAGCCTCTGTTCTTGGGACCCCCCACCCCACCATTTCTCGCCCAAAACCGACCGATACCCCCCACCGCGCCCCCCACCACGCCCCGGCACTCCCCCCCATCTGTTCTTGTGACCCCCCCACCCCACATTCTCGCCGAAATCCGACCCGATACCCGACCACGGCCCCCACCAAGCCCCTGGCATACCACCCATGGAGCCTCTGTTCTTGGGACCTCCCACCCCACCATTTTCTCGCCCAAACCGACCGATGCCCCCCACCGCGCCCCCCACCACGCCCCGGCACTCCCACCCCATGGAGCCTCTGTTCTTGGGACCTCCCACCCCACCATTTCTCCCCCAAAACCGACCGATACCCTTCACCGCGCCCCCCACCACGCCCCGGCACTCCCACCCCATGGAGTCTCTGTTCTTCGGACCCCCCACCCCACCATTTCTCGCTCAAAACCGACCGATACCCCTCACCGCGCCCCCCACCACGCCCCGGCACTCCCACCCCATGGAGCCTTTGTTCTTGGGGCCCCCCACTCCACCATTTCTCGCCCAAAACCGACCGACACCCCCCACCGCGCCCCCCACCACGCCCCGGCAGTCCCACCCCATGGAGCCTCTGTTCTTGGGACCCCCCACCCCACCATTTCTCGCCCAAAACCGACCGATACCCCCCACTGCGCCCTCCACCACGCCCCGGCACTCCCACCCCATGGAGCCTCTGTTCTTGGTACCCCCCACCCCACCATTTCTCGCCCAAAACCGACCGATACCCTCCACCGCGCCCTCCACCACGCCCCGGCACTCCCACCCCATGGAGCCTCTGTTCTTGGGACCCCCCACCCCACCATTTCTCACCCAAAACCGACCGATACCCCCCACCGCGCCCCCCACCACGCTCCGGCACTCCCACCCCATGAAGCCTCTGTTCTTGGGACCCCCCACCCCACCATTTCGCGCCCAAAACCGACCGATACCCCCCACCGCGACCCCCACCACGCTCGGCACTCCCACCCCATGAAGCCTCTGTTTCTTGGGCCCCCCACCCCACATTTCTCGCCCAAAACCGACGATGACCCCCCACCGCGACCTCCACACGCCCGGCACTCCACCCAATGAGCCTCTGTTCTTGGTACCACCACCCCACCATTTCTCGCCAAAACCGACCGGATACCCTCCACCGCGCCCTCCACCACGCCCCGGCATTCCCACCCCATGGAGCCTCTGTTCTTGGGACCCCCCACCCCACCATTTCTCGCCCAAAACCGACCGATACCCCCCACCGCGCCCCCCACCACGCCCCGGCACTCCCACCCCATGGCGCCTTTGTTCTTGGGACCCCCCACCCCACCATTTTCGCCCAACACCGACCGATAATCCCTACGCGCCCCCACCACGCCCCGGCACTCCCACCCCATGGAGCCTCTGTTCTTGGGACCCCCCACCCCGCCATTTCTCACCCAAAACCGACCGATACTCCCCACTGCGCCCCCCACCACGCCCCGGCACTCCCACCCCATGGAGCCTCTGTTCTTGGGACCCCTCACCCCGCCATTTCTCGCCCAAAACCGACCGATACCCCCCACCGCGCCTCCCACCACGCCCCGGCACTCCCACCCCATGGAGCCTCTGTTCTTGGGACCCCCGACCCCCACAATTTCTCGCCCAAAACCGACCGATACCCCCCACCGCGCCCCCCGCCACGCCCCGGACCTCTCACCCCATGGAGCCTCTGTTCTTGGGACCCCCCACCCCACCATTTCTCACCCAAAACCGACCGATACCCCCCACCGCGCCCCCCACCACGCCCCGGCACTCCCACCCCATGGAGCCTCTGTTTCTTGGGACCCCCCACCCCACCATTTCTCGCCCAAAACCGACCGATACCCCCCACCGCGCCCTCCACCACGCCCCGGCATTCCCACCCCATGGAGCCTCTGTTCTTGGGACCCCCCACCCCACCATTTCTCACCCAAAACCGACCGATACTCCCCACTGCGCCCCCCACCACGCCCCGGCACTCCCACCCCATGGAGCCTCTGTTCTTGGGACCCCTCACCCCGCCATTTCTCGCCCAAAACCGACCGATACCCCCCACCGCGCCTCCCACCACGCCCCGGCACTCCCACCCCATGGAGCCTCTGTTCTTGGGACCCCCGACCCCCACAATTTCTCGCCCAAAACCGACCGATACCCCCCGCCGCGCCCCCCCCCACGCACCGCTACTCTTCAACCATGGAGCCTCTGTTCTTGGACCCCCCACCCGATAACCATTTCTCCCCCCCCCCCTAAAAAAATACCCCCCCAAAAAAAAACAAAAAAAAACCCAGTGTAACCGAATTTTTTTTTTTACCCCCCCACCGCGCCCCCACCACGACCCGGCATCTTTCTACACCCCATGGAGCCTCTGTTCTTGGGACCCCCACCCACCATTTTTCTCACACACACAAAAACCGACCGTAACCCAGCCCCTTTCCACCGGCACCCTCACCGCACCGGCCTCGCCAATCCATGGAGCCTCTGTTCTTGCGGACCCACCACACACAGATCAGTTTCTCTCCCAAAACCGACCGATACCACAGCGCCGTCCCCACCACCCACGCCCCCGGCCACTCCCACCCCATGGCCCGCCTTGTTTGTTAGGACCCCCACTCCAACCCCATGGAGACTCTGTTTTGGGGACCCCACCCCCACCCACTCCTCGCCCAAAAACGACCACACACCCCCTCACCACGCCCCCCAACACGCCCTGGCACCTCCCACCCATGGAGCGACCGACACCCCCACCACGCCCCCCACCACGCCCCAGCACTCCCACCCCATGGACCCTTTGTTTTTGCGACCCCCCACCCCACCATTTCTCGCCAAAAACCGACCGACACCCCCCACCATGCCCCCCACCACGCCCCGGCACTCCCATCCCATGGACCCTTTGTTTTTGGGACCCCCCACCCCACCATGTCTCGCCCAAAACCGACCGACACCCCCCACCACGCCCCCCACCACGCCCCGGCACTCCCACCCCATGGACTT